AAGCTACTCAGCAAACTTCCTTCTGTGTTCATACTTGGTTCTCGTTCGCTGGAACTCTTGTTTGTGTGCTCAAACATTAGTTCGTAGTCATCGTATCCTGGGAAACGATTGTTGCAACGCTCCTAGCACCGTGGGAGGCAACAAATACGTTTTAAGGAAATCGTGCGTAGCACGAGCTTTGACTAATTCTGCTTCATCTCCTTTCCTGTTTATCTTTAGTCATTTTATTTAATTAATTTATTTTAATTAATTTTCTTTATTTTCCGAAACACACCCAACAATCCATACCAAGATGAATATAATATGCGGTCCCGGAAACATATGGCGGTCCCCACTCCCGATGTGGGCCACACGTGCAATTCACTATTCATGCAAAAGTAATAACAAAAATTTACAAGTTCGTAAATTCATTAACCATTTCATAAGGTTCAATACATGATTTACATAAAAGTAAATATAATTGGGGACGGTGTTACAGGAATCAAGTCTTTGGTTCGTTCAATGTGTAAGGTATTCTTTATTTTAAAAGGGAACAAAAAACAGAAATAGAGTCTACACATCATTGATTGATTGAATGAAAGGACCGTATCGCTATGACCTCTATATTACAGTGAGTTTGAATATTCCTCGCAAACGTCATTATATATTAAGTTTGTCTGGAGAATCGTCTAAGGATTCGCTGAGACCTTAATTTGATTAGTGCTTAATATATAAGACCCTATGGGTCACACAACAAGTGATTATACCTTCCGATTGAATTGTTAGAAGGAATTAAATATTAATTGGATTAAATAATATTTAATTCGTAATACTGGAAATAGATTAAATATTAATTAGATTAAACATATTTAATCTATGAAGTTGAAGGAGAGTTCTATTTGATAGAATTAATTAAGTAAAATAAATTAGATTTATTATACTTAATTAAGATGTATTTTTAATTAAATAAAGATGGCTTTTTCTTTTGATTTTGAATTAAAAGAAATGAATAATAAATAAATAATAATAAGAGAAGGGAGGTGGCGTGTGCAGCCCCTCTCCTTCCTTAATATTATTATAGTTTATTATTTGTTTTATTTAATTGATTAAATCATTAATAAGCATTAGTCCTGTTAGGACTAGAACTCATTAATGAGAAAGACTTTCATTGTGATTGAGAAACTAGTTTAGAACTGGTATAAATACATCACCATCCTTCATAATTAAATGACCAGTTTTAAGATTCAGTATTACCAGTTTATTTCCCTGCGAAGAGATTTCATAGCCTTTCTCTTAGGGAAATCTAACCGTTCTTTCGGAAAGGAGAAATCACGTGGATACCAAAGGTCAAGGATTATCACCGCTAGACTGGAAGATCTGTAAGTTCTAACTCAGATATGTTATTATTATCATATTCGTTATTTTGTCATAATCACGGAAGATCTGTTTGAGAAAATTTTAAACTTCCGCTGCCGTACTTTCGAGGTACGTTACATCAATTTCCTAACAGTAAGCTCCATAAATGGGGCTTCATCTTTTGCTGAATGGGTACAAAGTATTTTTGAGAGTGTGAACGTGAAGAAGCAATGCCAATTCATAATGCTCATGCGGAGCATTTGGAAAAGGCAAAATTAGTCGTGTGGAAGGAGGAACCACGTGGTGGGGATGATGTCATCCAGAGGGCAGTGGCTATGTTATCGGGATGGAGGGAAGCACATGGGGTGGGGTTCGGGGTCTGGCAGAAGTGCAGGCCGAATAGTAGGAGATGTCGGTTGGAAGAGCCCGAACGAGGCTTGGATTAAAATTAATGTTGATGGGGCGGTTGACGAGTATATGAATATAAGGTCGTGGGGATGAGTGGCTAGAGATGAAAAGGGGGCATTTGTTCGTGGACATATGGGGGGAGGCAAAGGAGGCTAGTTAGTCACCGACAGAGACAGAGGTATACAGGGCAAAGGAGGCTTTTTTGCAGCATGCAGGTTGGGTTGACAAAAAATTGAGATTGAAATGATGCTCTGGTTGTGGTTCAAAATGTTTCCAAGTAAGAATGGTCCTCTTTATTACATCTTATTATTGACGATATTAGACGTATTCTTGATAATCATAGTCAATTTAAGATTTTATATTGTAAACGGTTAGCAAATCATATTGTGCATGCTTTAGCTAAGGCTGATGGTTCTTCCCCTGACTGTTGTTCTATTTTCGAGCAGACTCCTGATTTGATTGTAAACCTACAACCTACTAGATGTGCTTCACTCTTACCGCTGGGCTATTTTGCTCACTAGTAATAAACTTTTCTTTAAAATATTAACATATACGGACTTTACATAGTAAATATTTAAGTGTATTAGAGTACCAATTTAACTCGTGTATAATTGTTCCTTAGATATATTGCTCATTCTTCAAACAATTAAAGAATATGACAAAATTACATTAAAACCTATGTTTAAAAAACCGACCCGACCGCGTCGACCCGGAACCTGGTCACTCGGACCGAAACCCGGTTCGGTTTATTAAAAACCCATAAATGGTAAAAATCCGGGTAAACCCTGTCCAAACCCGGGCTCTGTCAAATTATGTTTGTATTATTAATTTGAATTATTTGTACTTTTTAATTGCATATCTAAAATTAAGTATTACGGAGTAGTATTTTTTAATATTCTGTAATTGTTCAAGGAAAGAGTAATATAGGGAAAAAGTGCAAATAAGCCCTCGAACTAACCGAAAATGTGCAAATCACCCCTTTTATAGGAGGCTCTGTCCGGACGCTTTCATTTGGGGAGGTTCCCTGTAGAATTTTTTAATGCAATTTTTGAGCATCTTCTTCATTAAGTCTAGTTTACCCATACCAAATTTCAGCTAAAAATTCAACCCAGAAGGCAGTCAAATGATTTTCTGAAATATATTGCGTTGTTTAACTGCGCATTTATCTTCAAACATTTATTTGACTGCCTTTCCGATTACATTTCTAGCTTAAATTTGGTATAGGTAAATTAGACTTAATAAAGATGATTCTAAAAAAATCATCAAAAAATTCCACCTGTAACCGCCCAAAATGGCGACGGACGAACAGAGCCTCCTATAAAGGGGTGATTTGAACTTTTTCGGTTAGTTCGATGACTTATTTGCCCCCTTTCCCGAGTAACATATGTCCGGAATGAATTTAGCTCCTCTCCGGTAATTGAAATTCTTCATTAGGAGAGAGATAGAGTGAGATGTGAAAGTGGTGGGGTATGGAGAAAGAAAAGATGAGGTTTAATTATTTGTTTAAGAAGAGAGTGAAAAGAAATGAAAAGATTAAATGAAGAGAAGAAAATGGAGAGGAGTACGACTCGTCGAGAATATAAGTTGATTTTGATTAAAGTAATGCTGTTTGTTCGAAGGGCTGAAGCAAACTAAATGAAATAATGGGACTGAACCCAAACGCTGCCGTATGCAGCGTCTGTATTCAAACGCCGTACTCTCAAGTTATGGAGTTTTTCTTATTTCTGACCATTCTCTTACTTCATATTTTCTCCCCAATCGCTAAGCTATCTTCGGCCTCTCTCAGCCTCTGCCTTCTCCACTGTTGTGCGAAAAAGAAATACAAGGTAGATGTGTTGCTATGGATAGAGAAGTAAATCATGTCTTGTAGGGAAGTTCATAAACGGGCTTTAAATTATTTTCAAATTATGTCAAAAAGGTTGTAATCACAAGCCAGCTTCCTCCTGAATAAAACTTCTGCGGTTGTGATAGAAGACAACCGGGGTAATTGGTTTGAACTAAAATTGGCAGGTGTTGAATCTGAAGGCAATGAAAAATCTGTATATCCAGAGTTATTTTGGGGGAAAATGTAAATATATAGATAGTAACCAGAGTTATGTACATCGTATGAGCAAAATTGGAGGCATATCCAAGTATGGATACCCTATACATCCAAAGCTTCCAAGGCTTAATATCTAAAGTCCATCATCTAGCAAAAAACAGTCATCAACTCATGATAAAAAGAGGCTAGTTTATGATTCAAAAAGGGATCATATGGTACGGATATAATGAGTATAGCACTTTGTACACCATATATTTGATATGTGCAACCATATCATCCATGTTTAGAGTAGCTCCATCAAAACGGACTGTATTACGAGTTCTCCATATCCAGTAGATTGTGTGGCTAAACGCTATCCTCGTAGCCTTTGCTCTAATATGTGCTCCTTTGCAATCTCTTTGGATCCATTTCACCGCGCTCCTAAAAGATGACATTTGTCTTGCGATCCCAAACCATGCTTTAATATCCTTCCAAACCTACCCTGTGCAAAAGCATTCAAAAAATAGGTGTGGTACCGTCTCCGGACCACCCTTACAAAGCGGACAAATATTAACAATTGGTGTATGTTGTTTATCTCAAATTAATGTTTAATAAATTATATGCTAATTTCATACGGAGTATTATTCAACGCTTTTCCAACTCTTTTTGCAAAACAGAGCGTACTCTATTCAGTATTCAGTTAGAATTTCAGATTAAGTACTTCAAAGTTCCGCTCTAGACAATAATCCCTCATTCAAACAATAATCTCTAATTCAGACATTAACCTCCAAATCCAGTTCGTTGGGTCAAACATAACCTTACATGACATACTCGTAGAATATTTGATGACATGGAATGGCTGGGAATGATGACAAAATTGGATTACAAGGAAAACAATAATTTCATTTGATAAATAAATTTAAAAGTATCCTTGAGTGGAAAAAAACTAGAGAATTCCCTAAATATGAGTAAAAACATTTCAAAATTTCAAAATAAGACTATCATATTTTTTATCCCCTGCGCAAAAATAAATTTCTGCCAAGTTTGACATTAATAAGCTTTAAATATGGTATTTTTTTTTCAAATTTGGCAGAATTACTCCTATTTAGGGAATTTAAGTAATAAAAATATGAAAATCCTATTTTGGAATTTTAAAGTTTTTAGTAGTATTTAGGACAATTTCTAAAAAAACTACTCCTATTTGGAAAAAACTCCCAATTCTACCCATCATCTGATCTGGATTTGTCGCACTCGCTCTACACGCTTCATCTACAGCGCGTGGTAAATCTATCTTTCGACGCGCCTGAGGAGTGTTTGCCCTAATCGTCACTGTTTGGTTCTCTATATTCAGCATCACTATGCGCCACCATCGCTGCAACTTGTTATCTAATCTGCTTAAGATTCGCTATATTTTGAGTCTCAACACTCTCCCTTTCCGATCTCGTAGTAGTCGTAAGGCAGGTAATTTGGATTCCGTTTCCTTTTGTCGTATTGAAGTTCTTTACTCTCATCTAATCCATGCGCTGGTTTGCAGATCTGTTATTGCATTGATATTTTCACATGGCTCTGAATTTTCACTGGCTTTATTTATGACCAGATTCGGCTTAAAGGCTAACATGGAATCTATGGACATCGTTGGTAAATCGAAGGAGGATGCTTCGCTTCCCAAAGGTTCTATTTTTTTGGTTTATTATTATAGTTTCATTTCCGGTTAACTAAGTTTTATGTTACAAGTTTATTTACGATTGAACTATTTGCATATATAATTTGTTTCCCCGATTCTTGTCATTGAAACTTATCCTGGTGCTTAAATCACCATAGGGTCTGTGTTTCATGTGTAAGAGTTAGTTTCATTATCTCAGTAATGATAGTAGAATGTGGCAATGCACTATAGGGTTTAATGCTAACAGATGCTGTACTGAAACATGGATGTAAATCATTCCTAGCTGAATATATTGTGAAACAAATTACATGATTTCTCCTTGGGTTGCTACTATGCTCCTGTCAGTTTCGTCTGCTTGATGGGATGGAGATAAATTTTTATGCTATTGTTTGTTGTTCACCATCTTCAGAAACACAATTATGTTGTGCATTTTAAACTCCTAAAACTCTAGAAGTTTTATTGGTCATTTTAGGACTTTTGGTTCAATAAACTTGTATACTTATTCACATCATTACTGTTCTTGCTTCAACAATCCTCTTTTTGATTTATTTGCAGCAACAATGACAAAAATTATTAAAGAGATGCTACCACCTGATGTTCGTGTTGCCCGAGATGCTCAGGATCTTTTGATTGAATGTTGCGTAGGTGCGTAGATATCACTGCTGCTTAGTAGGTCGTCTGTGATAATTTGAGTAGATCCAAGTTCTCTTTGTTTTATCGTGAAATCACATGGTTTGCTATGTATCCTTCTGTTGGTCTGCTTAAGAATAATTAATGCGTGCAATCCATGTATAATCTATAAATTTTTAACACATTAAAATGCCTTTTCCTTCCAATTTTGCTGCTCTGTTATATGCAGTATAACTTTCTAAATAAGCTATTATTTGCTTTTTAGCATCATTGAATTGTTTTCTTTTGGCTCCACTAAAAATATGAAAATGCAAGGGAAAGCAAAAATTATTTGTATGTTTGATTTCACATAGGGACACAAGAGAGGAAATTTAATATGGCAATTCTTTAGTAATATCTATGGCTCTTAGTTTTTTATATTCTAAATAAATTATGTCCTTCATTTTCCCCTCCCCCCCTCTATCTTTTCTTTTCCTACTGTTTTTCAAGTCTTAAATGTAGGGTTTAGACAGTGATGACTGCCCAATTACTATTCTACTGGACCAAAGTGGAGTATTTGAAACATAAGCATCTCATTATTATAATCTTAATTCTCTGGCAGAGTTATTCTAGTTCGGTATATACTACGGAGTAGCTGTCTTTGTTTAAAAAATTGAACTCTTTAAATCTTGCAGAATTTATCAATCTAATTTCTTCCGAATCAAATGAAGTTTGTAATAAAGAGGAGAGACGGACAATTGCTCCTGAGCATGTGCTCAAGGCTCTTGAGGTATTCAATTGGTCCTATTATGGTTTGATCTTATCGGTTTATTAACCATGCAATAGATCACTTTGGTTGTTAGGTTATCCAAATGTCATATTTTGGGCTGCAAAAAGTAGATTGGTTTAGGCCTCTTCTCGCTATTGTTATCATTATTCATGCAAATAGTCTTTTCGTCTAACTTCCTTAATTTGTAATGGAAACATGTGATCTTCTATTCTTAATGCCCCCGCTTCCTCTGCAGCTGTTTCCATGGATTATAATTTAGTATGTTCATTAGGTACACAATTAGCGTCATTCATATTCTGAAATATTGTTTTTACTTCGCAAATAATTCAACAATGATGACAGCAACACCGACAAAAATGTATCGGCTATCGAGTAGTACACAACTAACAATCGAATGACAACCATACTACCCCTCAAACTGTCATAGACCCTTTAATATTCGTCAAGGTCCATTATTTTTATTAGGTAAAAAGAAGTTGATTTTCCATTTCTATTATAAACTACCCCTCAATTGAATGAATTTTATTATAGTTGCTGGGTTGTCTGAGTGAGTATTCAAATTATTACAGTGGAACTTGTGTTCTATTTTCCCTAAGCATATTATTAACATTTTTTGAACATTTTGAAATCATCTTGGTGTTGACTTTGCTTCTAGAAATTATTAAAATATATGCCACTGACAAGTTACAACCTCACCATACCTCAACTACATTGCCAGGTCCTAGGCTTTGGGGGGTATATTGAAGAAGTTTACGCTGCATATGAACAACACAGGATTGAAACCATGGTACTAGCATTGTTTACCTTATTAATTATTACTTGTATTTTATTTTTGTTCAGACTGAATAGAAACTTAGAAAGTTTAAGAGTTGTTCAATCTCATTGACCAAAAACAACAACAACATTACCCCAGTGCCACCTACGGTGGAGTAAGGGGGTTGGATGACCCATAATGAAAATCGTGTCAAAAATTAGATGGACTGACTGTTGCTTCACAACAAAGAAGCGCTGACTGTTTAGTGAGCCATATTGCTTTATTCCAACATATACCCAACCCTAAAATGAGTCTTTGGCTCCATTGGTAATGATGGAATTTTCAAACTCATTGACGAATAAAAGAATTTCTGGTGTTTGTGCCGTCATTACAGGATACTGTCAGGGGTATTAAGATGAGCAGTGGAGCGGAAATGACCGAAGAAGAAGCATTGGCCGAGCAGCAAAGAATGTTTGCAGAAGCCCGTGCAAGGATGAACAATGGCATTGCCATCCCTAAACAACCAGACTCAGAGCCAGAACAACACAAGTGAACTGCTATCTTTTACCATTCATCTAATCATCTTTCAGGTGAAGGCATGAGTTATTGCTTTGTAGGTATTAGGATATTAGGATTCTGTCCTGCATTATCTTGTACATAAATCACTTAGATGTTAGCCTTTCTCCTTTTGACCTTATACGTGTAGTTCATGAAGCTATGTCAATATAAATATGTGTCTGTAATTAGTACTTTGCCATCAAAACATTCCTGTATCATTGTTATTTAAAAAATTATTTGTCACACGCAGATACTCCCATAAGTTGAGCATCTATCGTAATCTAGATTATGTTGGTTGGAGCAAAGGCGTTCTTATCACACCTTCTAAATATAGAGCCCGTTTGGTAACCCCTTTTTCAAACACGCAAGTGATGCAACTTCTGATTTTATTTTTGTGTAATAATAATCAAAATAAATAAAGTTGAAGTTATTTTTGTGGGTGAATTGATTGAAGTTGATTTTTTTTGAAAGGAAAACTAGCACTTCATTAATTCAACTCATCATTCTCTAGATGGAGTACAACACAATCTGGTGGTAAACTGGTAAATCAAAACTCGTACAGTCATACTCCCGTCTCGATCATTTATATTTTTGGCTAATCAACATTATTACTATCTTTTCACTAAAAAGTTAACTTTTAAATAAGTAAGTTTGAGTCACTTTTCTGGTTGACTTGACTTAAGTTACCATAAAGGATCATTTTAGCTATTTTTTATAGGAAAAATTGAAAATAATAACCCCAACTATTGTTGATCCGTTAACAATAATCCCAACTATTGATTATTTTTGTATAATTCCAATTTCCAACTATATAGATCGTCCGTCAATAATGATCCATGATCGCATATTACCCAGAAATGGACTCGGGTCCGGGCCGGGTCCGGGTCTGGCCTAGGCCCGGGCGGGCCGGCGGTTCAGAAATGTTGGACCCGGGACCGGCCCGGGTAACCACCGGGTCCGGGCCGGGCCGGGCCCATTATCATTTTTTTTCTTGTTTTCCTCTTCCTAATTAACCCCCCTCCCACCCCCAACCCCCAAACCACCCCAAATGGTCCAAAATACCCAGCCCAATCCGAAAATTTAAAAAAAATTGAAAAAAAAAATAGGTTATGGCCCGAACCGGGCCCGGGCCCGGACGCGTCGGGCTTTTTTTTTGGGTGACCCGAGCCCGGACCGGAAAACCCACGGGCCGGGCCTACCCGGACCGGTCACTGACCGGGCCACCGGGTCGGGCCGGGCCGAAACAGTACCGGTCCCGGGCCGGTTCCGGGTCGGGCCACCCGGCCCGAGTCCATCCCTAATATTACCTGCTCTAACAAGTGATTTTTTAATAGAAATTAAGCGTAAAAACTAAAATTTGGGATTATTTATAAGGATTACCTGTTATATCTATTTAGAAATTATAAGAAATTATTTGTAGCCGGTCACGTCGGACCATTATTGGCGGAAGGTCCCTAAAGTTGAGATTATTCTGAAATAATCGATAGTTGAGATTATTATGAGCGGACCGCTAATAGTTGGGATTATTACCATCAAAATTTTCCCTTTTCATATAAATTTCTCTTTATTTTAATTAATAAAATATATTTTAAAAACATTTTTTTTATAATTAGCAGAATCAGTCAATCTAACCATTTTAACTAGAAATTCATAAATTTCAATAAAATCAATCAATTTTTGTGTTACCAAACCACCTCTTAAATACATTTTCATATTTTTACTGGAGCCCAAGATTACTTCGCATTGGAGCTTGAGCATAAGTTGCGACCAAACATGGAGGTGACAGGCAATTACATATAAATATGGGAAAAATAATTTAAATATCCAAACTTTGAAGGGTGTGAGGTAAGTACTCCAAACTTGCACATGTAATATATAGCTCAATCTTTATATAAAAAGTTATATTGCCACCATTATCATATGTTTTTTCCACAAATGCATGTAATTTTATGGTTTTAAGTACAACAACATCAGAGTCTTAGTCTCAAAAGATTTAATTTTATGATTTTAAGTACATAATATAAAATACACAAAACGCTTATCAGGATGCAATTAAAATTAAATTATGCTGGATTAATATTTATTTATTCCACGAATAAATTTTAGAATGTTAACTACATCCAAATAAAGCTTAGAATATTTTATATTATGTAGTTATTGCAATAAATTTAAATTTGTAAAAAATATAATCATGGTGCGAAAAATAATTTTTTATATAAAGTTCGTGGTATAGTGGTATACATATCATATATGCAAATTTGGGATCTTTATTTCACACCCTTTCAAAGTTCGAGATATTTATAATAGGCATCGAAGAAAGCTACAGATATATGGGTAAAATACACCGTACAGCGCGGCTATACCGTGCACACGGTACAACCGGCTATACCGTGCGCATGGTACAACCGGCCTTTTTTACGCTTTTGCACTTCTCGCCCTAGCACCGGACATCTTCGATCTTCCTTGGCACAGGACTTCACACCTGCTTCTTCAATCACGCTTGGCTTTTTTGATCTGATCTCGCACTAGGCAGACTGCTCCTCGTCGCCACTCTCTTCTCCTCAAGCACGAACACCCTCCTGCTGCGCAAGAGACGGCGGCTCCCGGGGAGTTCTTTGTTGGCCGGTCCTGCGAGAAGAAGAATACGGAGACGACAGATTGAGGGATGATTTAGGAGACTGAGTTCATACTTCTTTGTTGATGAATCTGGAATGAGTTTATATTAAACTCAAATGAGTATAAGCTTAAAGGGAATGAACATACACAAATGAATATTGAGCATATTAGAAATCAATTTTATGTTAAACTCAAATGAGTATAAAACCCAAAATGAATGTGCATACACAAATGAGCTTTTGAATTTTTTGATGCTCATTTTATAAGTTATATATGCTCATTTGGTACCTCTTTATGCTCAATTTAAAATGTTGCACATTTTAAACGTGTCATACTACATTATGTTAAACTCAAATGAGTATAAAGTCCAAAATGAATGAGAATACATAAATGAGCTTTTGAATTTTTTGAAACTCATTTTGTAAGTTATGTATGCTTATTTGGTACTTCTTTATGCTCATTTTAAAATGATGCACATTTCAAACATATCATACTATATTAGATTTACATATTAAAATTAATTGTAAATGATTACAGACATAATTTAAGAGTTTTTATAAACGAAAAAATAATAAAAAGAAAGCGGCTTAGAAGATATGAAGCAGAGAACGTTGATGCTCATTTTTAGGCTCCCAATACTCAAAACAACAGGCCTGATGATCAACAAAATTGCGTTAATGCTCATTCAAGAGAAGCCATGTGTTGAAGGTAAGTCCCGTAGATCCGAAAGCCCAACACGAACTTTGGATATATCAGGAATGGACCAGAATCAAAGTGTTTAACAAAATATAAAATATGAAGTCACTAATACCCAAAAGCCCCCTCGTATTAATTAACCTGTCTGATTACAAGGAAACTTCCCGATCGGTAGGTCGGAATAGTGCTTTAATACAGGAAACAAAGATAATAATGCTATTCTAGAGCTTGAGTATTGAAATGTTAACCCTTACAATGATTTTAAACCTTCTATTTATACTAATGGAGAGCATGGGCTGCTCTATGCTGATTGGCCGTTGTTCCACCGACTTGATCACCCATGTTTCCACTTGCTGATGTCACAATCTGACATTAATTGCACCTGACCACTTGCTGGTTGTCCGTTGCTCGAACGGGATGTTGGACCATGCTGAAGACGCTGTCAAATTGGCCCAAGTATGATATATGGTTCGAACTCCGTTCGGTATCTCTTCTTTCTGGGCCGGCCTTTACTTGGACCGAACCCCGTTCGGTATGAATTCTTCACTGGATCTACTCATCATAGGGTAATGGACTCATTGTTTGGACCGGGTATCCTGGGCCTGTTTGATCCAGGTATTGGGCCTCCGGGTCAATAACCCAACACAAGTCCCCCACTTCCGATGTCTCGAATGACAGTGAGTGCATTAGGAAGTATGAATACCAATGTTGCAATTTGCCGAATGACGATCGGGGTACAGAAGTAGTCAGTTCCCCATACTGTGATTTGACGGCTGTCGTTTTATTTTCCCCATATTCATCATGATAACCGTTGTTTAGTCTTTTCATTGGACACGCGTTTACCTTAAATGCTTCTGGTGACGTGTCGCTTCCTGATTGGTCCTCGATACGACGCTTTAAAGGCTATAAATTTGCCTTTAACTTTTCAAATCCGGGTTTCGATTCTGCAATTTCCTTCGCACCGTTGCTCTCCCTGAATTTTCTTCAAGCTTTCGCTGTTCAGGTACTTTCCTTCCCTTACTTTCTCGCCTCATCCCTGACTCGGTCGAGATGAATTCCCAATGGTGTTCTGATTCGGAAATGGCTTCTCAAGGGGAGGACCGTGATGTGGAGATTATCACCGTCCCTTTCGATGAGGGTTCCAAGGCGGCGACGGCGGAGGTTAGGGCGGAGACGGATGATTCCTCCGGCAGCTCTTCTTCCTCCAGTGAAGATTCCGATGATACCAAGTCCGAAGATGAATTAATTTCCATGGCGGCCGGACGTCCCAACGATTTCCCTCGTCATACCCTTGACCTAAAACTGATTAGGGAGAGGCGGCAAAAACTGACCTCCCATAATAGGGCCGAAATTTCGGCCCTAATCCCAGATCCAGTGAATTTCCGACTGCGAGCTGGGCTTCACCCAATGCGTCATAGGCCTGGGATGGTTGTAGTTCATTTTGACTCAATTAGGGCCGGGCTTAGGTTTCCGCTACATTCTTTTGTCGTTTCATTTTTTAATTTCTACGAAATTGTACCGGCCCAAATTATGCCGAACTCCTACCGGGCAATGGCGGGCTTTATTTGCCGTTGTAAAGATGCCGGTGCCCGACCGACCTTAGATCTCTTCCACCAATTTTTTAAGGTAGCCCCTCAACAAACACACGGCTATCTGGCCACTAGTGCCCGAACGGGACATATTCTGTTCAAGGGCAATCCGACTTCAATCAAGGGGTGGAAAGACCGGTTCTTCTTCGTGTCTGTCCCGGACGGCCTAGTCCCCCGCAAATGGAATGCCTTTCCCCGCAAAACTTCTGATCCAGTCCTTACTGAAGAAATTTACAAGGATGTGCTTGCTGTGGAGAAGGATAAATGCGTGGATATAATGAGTTATCTGACTCCCGATCGGCCAATTGAAGCCGGGATAGGTACTAGGGATGTATACGAATCAAATATTTTTTGTTCGATTCGCGATTCGATATCGTATAAATGAATTCGAATTCGGTAAAATCAAATACAAATACGAATACGAATAGTTATTTTGATTCGATTAATATTCAAATACAAATACAAATATTGCAGTATCCGATTCGATAACTAATCAAATATATTCGAATAATAATAATAATAATAATAATAATAATAATAATAATAATAATAAACCCACTTAAGTTAGCCCATACGGCTCAATGGCTCAAAGCCCAAAATAAGTAAAAAAATAAACCCAGTGACCGAGTCCGCTTTGGCTAGTACAACACTCCATCTTCCGTAGATTAGGTCACACTCAATGACTCAGACCACTTAAACCAGATGAAGCAAAACACATGTGCGAGCTGTGATAAGCGCCGTGCCCGTTCTTCTGTTAAGCAATCAACAAGCCGGCTTCATCTCCTCGCGAAACAACGAACTTCATCTCCTCGTTGATCTGATTGTCCGGCTTCATCTCCTGTTTTGGGCGGCTTCGTATTTCAGGTTGAGATTTTTCGAGGACTGCCTTCTTTTTTCGATTAGAGCTTTAATTTTTCATGTTTGTATGGAATGTTTTTCCTGTGTTCCTTTCTTTATTTCTTTATAGGCTACTCTGAGGCTACATGTACCAAGATTAAGGTAAGAACTAATGTGTACCCTTAATCTTGACTGCCATGGTGGCTGTAGCTATATCCAATCTGGAGTTTTCTGGCCGGTTGTTTTTTGAGGTTCTCCATTAGGATCTCAACCTAGACATATCTGCTTACCGAACCCCATACATTTATTTGATCAATAAAAAAATTATAGCCTAGCATATATGTTGATACATTCACTGGTCTGTGAGTAAGATTTATAGATTTATACATTCACTGCTTCACTATACGGTTTGTCGATGATCTTTCTTTAAGATTTATAGATTTATTGTTAAGTGGATTGTGCTGAATTTAATATTTTCTCTTTGTTATTTTAAGTATTTGTATTTGGTAATGATTTTGGTATTTGGTATAATGATATATACAAGATGTTGTATACAACTTTTGGAATATTGGAATTGGTATATCAAATGCCAGTAGGTACTAGGTAGTGACTCCAGTTGAATCAAATAAATGGGTTTGTACTCACAAAACTTCTCAGTTCTTAATAGTCACTCCTTGCTTTGTGTTAATTTCTCAATTTCACATTTCTCAACAATGAATGACCATCACTCGCTTCAACAAGATGAGGCTGGAAACGGAGAAGTTGATGAGGTAAATAATATTATTTATTATTTTTGATATACTTCTATTATATAATGTCGAAATGAATCAGTTGGACAAAAGTTTTATTATTTTATTTTGTAATAGCAGGTGATGCAGCAACAACAATTGACTGGCACAAATAACGTTGATGCTGCACAGTTTCAGAATTTGGATGAAGTGCATACACACTTCGAAGATGAAAATGATGATGATAAGGTTGACGCTGGAAACAATGAGGATGAAAGCCATTTTCAAAGGAAGAAAAGAAAGAAGGTTTCCAAAGCCCATTGTGAGTTTAATGAAGTGACTACCAAGGATGGAGTTGAAAAATTTCAATGCAAACACTGTAAGTCCCTTCTCAGCAAATCAGCTACTTCTACAACTAGTCATCTCTTGAATCATTTGAAAAGGTGTTTGCAAAATAAACTTAACAAGAGAAAACAGAAAACCTTACAATTACAACCAGAGAAATCTGCCTATGAAATGAATTCATTGTCAGATGGTAAGTACGACCATTCAAAGCAGAGAGAAGCTATTGCCCATTGGATTCTAACTAATGAACAAGCCCTAAGTGTCGTGGAAAGTGATACTTTCACATTCATGTTTAGAGTTAACCTGCTGCACTTTGAAAAAATATCACGTGCCATGGTAAAGAAGGATGTCATCAGTGTTTATGATATTGAGAAGAAGAAGCTACATTTGTCCTTAAGAAGCATGAAAAATATTTCACTGACAACTGACATTTGGAAGTCAAAAGTGCAAAAGATTTCTTATATGTGTGTTACTGGACATTTTGTTGATTCAAACTGGGAGCTTCAAAAGAGACTTTTGAATTTTATTCCTCTCCCACCTCCACACACAGGTAACTTACAATTTTTACATTATTTTTATAAGCCTGTACTGTTTTTTTACTTATAATATATTCTTTTTCTTTTGTAGGTGTTGATATCATTGATGGTCTGATGAAATGCACCAAGGATTGGGGGATAGAGCAGAAAATATTTACAATTTCAGTGGATAACGCCTCAAACAATGATGTGGCAGTTAGAATTGCTAAAGAAACTTTTTCCCGGAATCGTAAGTTGCCTTTGGGTGGTAAGTAATTCCATGTCAGGTGCACTGCTCATATACTGAACCTCATTGTTCAGGATGGTCTTTCTCAAATTAAAGATATTATCAAAGATGTTAGAGACAGTGTGCGCTATATTAATCAGTCAGAGGCTAGGTTAATAAAATTTTCTGAAATTGTGCACCATTTGGGAATTAATGCAAAGCGCTTGATCATAGATTGTGTTACTCGTTGGAATTCTACGTATGAAATGTTAGTTTTAGCCACTCAAGTTAAGGAAGCTTTTCCAATATTTGCACAAAGAGAGTCTTCCTATACTTGCTGCCCTAGCGTAGAAGATTGGAGTAAAGTAAAGGAGGTTGTTGATATTTTAGGGGTATTTTATGAAGCTACTCATGTCATATCTGGAAGTTATTATCCTACTTCTAATGTTTTCCTAGCTGTTGTTTGGAGAGTTAAACATGTTTTGAATGAGAATGAAAAACATTCTAATGTTTTTATTAGAGAAATGATTGAAAAGATGAAGTTAAAGTTTGATAAGTATTGGGGTGATTGCAATTTGCTAATGTCAATTGGGGCTATACTTGATCCAAGGTTCAAAATGAGGCTGGTTGACTTTGCTTTTAACAAAATATATGCTGAATCTGATGCACATGTGAATGTTGTCCGTGTAAGAAATGCATTATATGAATTATATTCTGAGTATGTTCAAACTGAAAATGCGAGGACTCGAAAAGTGGGTTCTGTAATGGATAAGGATATCTCTTCTACTTCTTCTACATGTTCTGGTTCTAATGGGAAAGCTGTCCTCTCTGGTTTATTTATGTTTGACCAATACTTGAACACGGTTGAAAATGATATTCCTGAAAAGTCCGAGTTGGATATTTACTTGGAGGAAGGGGTTTTAGATGTCAAGATGGTGATGCTTCTGAGTTTGATGCTTTGTCTTGGTGGAAATCTCATGAATTAAAGTTTAAAATTCTATCCAAGTTAGCCCGAGATGTTTTAGCTATTCCAGTTAGCACGGTGGCCTCAGAGGCCACATTTAGTGCAGGCACCCGAGTCCTAGACCCTTATCGTGCTAGGTTGACACCTGATATGGTACAAGTTTTGATCTGTGGGGCTGATTGGGTTCGTCTGCTTCACGGGATTAAGAAGCCAATCATGATATATGTAAGTTACATTTTAAGTTTAGTTTTTCATTTATACATTATTGTGACACAAGCTGTATTTATTGTTTTTATAGGATGAAGAACCTATTGTTGAAGTCATATTGAGATTATGATGCTCGGATGACAATGGATTTGGTACGATACTGTTTTGGTTTTGTAAAAATTGTTGATTTCCTTATGAGTATGTGAATTGTACTCTTATTCTTATTCATGTTTTGTGTCTTCTGTTTATGACAGGCCTTGTGGGCGCATCATTTTTGTGATTCTAGCTACTGTTTATAAATTTTGGATTAGGATTAAATTTGTGGGGCTATGGTAGTTTTTGAGCCTGCGTTCTGCAAAATTTAAGTGCAGTTTTTTTGTCAGTCTGAATAGCAGGGCTACTTTTGGATTGCAAACATTATCAATTCTGCAGTTATTTGAGGCTGCAATCTTCAAACTGTAAAAAAAAGTGCAGTTTTTTTTGTTCAGTCTGAATAGCAGAGATTCTTTTGGATTGCAAACTATCAATTCTGCAGTTATTTGAGGTTGCAATCTTCAAACTGTAAAAAATTGTTCTCTTAGATTTTGGTAAAAAACAGTTCTTAGTTTTGGTACTATCCTATTAATTAGGTTGTTTTTTGAACTCCCTTTCCATTGTATTTTTGGCCCTCTATGGAGTATGGAAGCTTTGGCAGATTTGTTTGTTGAATTGCTGCTGCACTTTGGTGAATAGATGGGCTGCCCCTGTATTGCTACCTTTATGTGGTAGACTACCACTGGTAGTTAGAACTTAGAAGGGATCAAGCCTTGAGGGAAAGCCGTTTGTATTGGATGTTCGGTTACATGATAATATGATATAGTGCATAAAAAATTTCTGTAATATTTCTTTTGTATAGGTTTGTTTAAACCAGTATACTTTTTGCAATTCCAATTCTAAATAAAATATAGTATTCACAAAAAAAGGGATAACAAGTGAAAATATTTTCGAATACGAATATTCGAATCAAATCGAATAATATTCATTTAAGTACACGAATCGAATTCAAATACTTTTATAGGTTCGAAATATAAACGAATACAAATACGAATCTCAGTCAAAACCTTCGAATTCGAATCGAATTACTAAATATTTGACTCGATCCGCTTCGTATACATTCCTAATAGGTACTGCCCGTTCTCTTCGGTTTACTTGTTTTGAGAAATCAAGTGCCATGGTCCGGGCGGTCCTTCCCGTGCGAGAAACGTTCTCTTCTTTTTTCTAGTTTCTCACATGCTAAGGCCGCTCGGTACTAATATTTTACTTTGTCATTTTTCAGCTCCAAATCCAGACGTACCCATGGACAACAACAGAGTTCTTGCAGCTGGTGGGGTTGGCAAGCGGAAGAAAGCCACGAAGAACCCCCAACCTACTCCCTCCACTATAAGTGCTCAGGACGCTGGGTCTTCTCAACCAGTTTCAGAGCCACAACCACTACAACAGGTCCATCAGGACCAATTCGATGCCATGCTGGTCGACGATCGATTTGGTTCTGACCAGATGCACCAATTTCCTGAGCACTTCCAAGCCGCTCAGGAGACCGGTCAGGGTGCGGGTGATATGCCCTCCGTCCAGCTGTCTGGTCAGGTCGACCGGATCTCACTGGCGGATCCGGTTCATGACGTTGTAGAAAGAGGTGGATGTTCAGCAAGCCAGATTTGGTCCACCTCCGCTTTCTTCAACAATTTCACCGTTCCTAAGCTGTCGGTCGAGCAATCTGAGGAATGCTTGGCCTTAGCAGCCCTGAAGGTATTTTACTTTTTTCCCTATATTTCTCATATGCTGAATTTCCTATCACCATCTCATTTCCCGAATGACATTCTGCAGGTTGGGCTTTACAGTTTGCAGCTGAAAGATGCTCGACTGCTAAGGAGCGGGAGCTGATCGTTGCTCAGACTTCTGCGGAGCAGAATGGAGCTGCTGCTTTTACTGCTCTGGAGGCCGAACGGAAGGCCTATGCGGAGGAGAAGAAGCGCCTCGAATCGGAGCTTGGTGAACTCCGGGTTCAGCTCGGGGCCTCTCAATCCAAAGTTCATGTTGCCGAAGCTGCTTTGGTTAAGTTTGAAGAGTGCGCCCCTCGTATCCCGGACGGCCCTGCTGAAGTAAATGTTGACCTGTCTGCCGTCCGGGAATCATTCAAAGGGTCTGAGGAGTTCGCTATCCTGAAGAAAGACTATGCGCAACAGGAACTCTCAGTCACATTTGGTGATTATCTCGAGCGTTTCTCCACGGGTGATGCCCGCCGAAGCGAGGGGGTCAAGCTGCTCGACCAGGACCCAAGGGGTAAAAAGTTCAATGACTCCCTGGCCCGGTCTCTTTATGGCATGGGCTGCCAGCACATTATGGCCCCCTTCGTCGCCAAGCTGCAAGAATTGCTAGGGAGGCCGGTCGAGCTGGCTGACCTTCCTCAAGCGCCCATCGTTGAAGCCCAATATGAGAAGTATCAACGGGACTTGCAACGGGCTGCTGATCACGAAGCGGGGAAGGAGCCTGATCCCCCTACTCACTCGGATGAGGAGGAGGGTGATGATGAAGACAGTAGAGTTGAACAGTAGATTTAGAATCAAATATTTTTAGCAACTGTAATCCCTTCCCCCTTCTTCTCTTTTCTTGCAAACCTCATCTGTATTTCCCGGCCGATAGAGCCGATGAATATATATATATATATATATATATATATATATATATATATATATATATATATCTTTTGCATAAAGCTCTATATACTGTCTTTTTTGTCTTTATTGAATGATTGCTCACCATTCGGGATTCGGTCCGTTTTATAGGACTTAACGGTTTTCTGACCTTATTTTTTACTCAACACTCCTAACACCGTATGATTGCCGCTCGGGCAGTAGATAGTTCTGACAATTTATCAGGGACTAGCCCCCTGCTTTTTGTATTGATGGCCGTTCGGGCGTCTGTTCATATTTTAGGACTTAGCAATTTTTCTGGCCTCAGACGTTTCCTTCAGTTTTACTGCATTTGGCTTCCTTCATATGTTGATAGCCGTTCGGGCTTCTGTTCATTTTTTAGGACTTAGCAATTTTTTCTGGCCTCAGATGTTACTAATTCTCTGTGAGCCCGTTCGTTACTCGGCTAATTTGAAACATCTTAGTTATTTGGCTCGCTGTTTGTTAATTGCCCGGTCGTCGTTCGCTTGCCTGGTTGATTCTCGGTGAGCCCGTTCTTCATTGCCCGTTCGGGGTACGTGCCTAATATTGAGCCATAAATACATTCTGATTATTCATAACCACTTAATGACACGTGTTATTCATGGATTAGGTTTTTGGGCGGCACTTTCTCTATTTATAGAGAGGTGCTTGATCCTCATTTTTCTTGCTGTTTCCTTAGTTTTCTTTCTAAGCTTTCTCGCGTATCTTCAAGCTTTCTCTCTCTAGAATTCTCAGGATTCCTCAAGTGATTTTATGTATTTCCCTTCTAGCTCAGAATGTGAAGAAATGTTGTTGATTCGCATAGGAAAAACTTCCACTGGGAACAAGGCCGAAGGCTCTTCTTCCCAAGTGCCTAATTCCGGCAATCCTTTCGCACGAAAAGACACCGAACAGCCTCGTGATGACGGATGCCTACCAGGGGACGACGTTCAGATTTATAACAAGGGAATGCCCGAGCGGCCACCCCGCATTGCCCTGCACTTTAACCGCATTCGCAAACAGAAACAACGTCTTCCTAAAGATGTCGAACGGCAACTTGGCCAAATATTGCCTCCACCAAGAGAGTATTATGCTGGATTCATCCGGCATCCAATGAGGCATCGACCGGGACACGTGCTAGTGCATCTTGATGCATTGATTGCTGGGCTTTGCTTCCCTCTCCACCCGTTCGTCGTGGAGTTCCTGCGTCGGGTTTCTGTACTACCCACTCAGTTCGTACCTAGTACCTACCGCATCCTGACAGGCTTCATAATTCGATGCCAGGAACTGAGGATCGCCCCAAGTGTTGACCTATTTCTTCATCACTACTGCTATCAGCCTTATTGGACGACCGGGTACCTGAAGCTGGTAGCCCGCTCTGATCGTCAATTGTTTACAGATAATCCTACCCCGCCGGCTGACTGGGAGGAGCGATTTCTATTTGTTCGGGTAGGTGATTCTCTGCCAATTCCGGATAGGTGGAACGCCTATTCCGTTCGGGATTCTCAGCCTAGAGTAGATGCCGTTCTGCGCTCCCAAGCTGAATCTCTGCGTATGGGAGGAACCCGAAGTCTTCGAGGTTTTATTACCCCTTCTAACATGCTATCTGTCGGGATTGGTAAGTGTAATAGGATTTTAACCCGATCGTCCTTCCTTCTTTCAATTTAGTTTCTTATATCTTATTCCCTTGTAGGTGTGATATCCCCCATACCCGTTCGGCGTTCCATATCTTCCGCTACTCTGACACCTTCCTCCGGAAAGGGCAAGAAGAAGATGATTGCCGATCATGCATCTGCTGAGCAGAACCGGAAGAAACGCAGGGGGAATGATGGCCACATACTGATCCCGGTCGATCACGTAGTCGACTTGACCGGATCGGAGGCTGAGCCAAACAAATCTATGCCTGCCAAGCCGAAAACTCCGGCTCTTTCTGATGCGCCGGTCGATGATCGGATGTTTGTTGAGTTCTCAAACATGGGACCCAGAGCAGAAGGAAGATACCTGTTCGGGCTCATGTCATCATCCATGTGGTGCAGCACTTCGCTGAAGGTTCCCCCCAGTTTCACGAACTTGACTCACTGGTCTGACCTTCTTGAAGCAGGTCATCAAGAAGCACTCAAGGTACGCTTCATTCTGATCCATACCTTCTTACTTTTTATCTGTTTATCTTATCTGACTTCATTTGCCATTTGTTTTCAGGCCGGTGTATACTATCATAAGGCTTTTCTTGCGGACGAAAAGGAAATGAAACTCCTGGCCAGTGATCGGGATGATAGCCAGGTCCTTCTTTCTGCCGCTCGGAAATTAGCTGCAGATCTACAAGAGCGTGCCAAGAAAGGTGAGAAGACGAAAGCTGCTCTGGCTGCAATGCAAGAGAAAACCCGACGTCGCGATCAGGAGATTAAAGAACTTCGGGCCAAGGTGCGGGCTGCCGAATCTGCCGGGGTCAAATTCGATAAGGTCATTGGTGACAATCTTCCCGAGCCTTATACTGCCAATACTTCCCAGATTGCCAATCAATCGATAGTTGACTATCAACGGGGTAAGGGGCTGAACGTCGCTCTGGAGAACACAACCCGACAATTCCTGGGACCTCATCTTGGCCAATTCTTACGCGAAAGCGAGGATCCCATCAAGGCAGGCATCGAACTCCTGGACAGCACGCCGGAAGGGAAATATTTTCTGGATGTCCTGACCGAGAAAACTGTGACGCAAAGTCAGGATCTGCTTTTAGATAGGAACCTCGATCTGATCTTGGAACATTTCCCTAAGCCGTTCGATCCTGATGAATTGGGCTTTGATGATCTGTTCGGGAACACTTATGACCGGATCATGGAGAAGAGGACAAAAGCAGTGCCTGATGATGCAGCGCAGGCATGGAGCTCCCAACCTCCACCTTCCCCGAACGGCAGTCCTCCAGTAG